GCGCTTCCCTCAGGCATTTCTAGGCCCTATCCTTCCATTCCAGGCTGGGGGTGGGGGGGGGAGGCCAGCTAACCCCCAAAAGGATGCTTTTTTTGGGGTTATATCCCATAACATCAACAAAAATTATTAATACTACATAAATTAACCCCTAAAATCCCTAATATCCTTATACCTTCCCCCATTTATCTGGTCTGGTAACATCATAGAGATACAGAGATAAAAAAAAAAAAAAAATCTCTTCAGAAAGGGGACATGAGGACGACTTCACAGCACATGTCATCATTTTTAAATAATATACAAATAACGCTTATTGCAACAAAATATTCTTTTTTTTCTCATTCATCCTGAGAAGGTATGTTAATAACCATACTAATGTCAATCAATTAAGCATGATAACAAACCTCCCAGAAGATATATATAGCCGAAAGACAGGCACGTTTTTTACCAAAACAAAGTTTGTTTACGTTTCACAGCTGAGCCGCACTGTCATAGAAAACGGAGGTGACCTGTATCGTAGAAAATGAAGTTCTTTTCGTTTTAGGGGAGACTTCTTAAAATTGAGGAAAATATACCGTCTTTTTAATAGGCATTGTTTAAGTTGAAAGGGCGTATATAGATATGTGAAAGACCATCGAAAAGATAATTTTGGCAGGGGAGAAGGGTCCGTGAGTATGGAAAATTTGCCTTCCTTTTCTTAGTTCATCATCAAGTTTCTTGAAATTGAAACATTTTTAACGCTTTGTAATGAGTGTTTTTACCATAAACCATATTTTTGTTCATTACAGTGGCAAGACTTTTTTTCTTTAACTTGTTATTGAATGTTTATTATAAATCGATCTGTTAAGAGGCGCTTGAATAGCGGTCAGAATCCACGAGCTGGCCGCTTTATTCTCGTCCAAGGTCTATATTACAGAGGTTAAACCTTCATATAAACCTTGAATTAATTTCTGTATGTGATCTTTTTTACTTATTTAGTTTGGATACATGCTGTGCTACCTAGTTTGAAGAGGTAAGAGCCGCTTTGGATAACTTCTTTGAATAAGATTATAGGCGAGTTTACGCCATCATGTCTCTTTGTTTATTATTATTACTATTATTATTATTATTACTTTTATCATTATCATTATTATTATTATTATTATTATTATTATTATTATTATTATTATTATTATTATTATTATTATTATTATTATTATTATCATCATCATTATTATTATTATTGTTATTATTATTATTATTATTATTATTATTATTATTATTATTATTATTATTACTATTTTTATTATTGAAAACATATTATTACTGAATTTCAATAAAAGAGGAAGTTTGCATATTATATGGAATTATGTGGCTTATTATAAGGTTTACAATAGTCTGTTCACTTGCTAGCTGGACCCTATATACATTTGAATTAAGTTAGTTACTCTGAAAATATTCGCAAATTTACAGCTCTTGATAATATTTTGAATGCTATATATCTGTGTAAGAAAATTCCTCTAACTAAAACTATACAGTTAAGCTACATAATAATTTCCAGTCTAGGAGAAAAAAAATCCTGTAAGTGTAAAAAAAAAAAGTTAAAGAAAATCAGAATTGATTATAAAGGTTTATAAAAACATGAGCGAAGTTCGAAGCAATCACGGATATGCATATGTTTTCATATAACATGGTTACTATGATATCAAAATGCAAATTGCGAATTGTACAAGCTCGTTCTGTATTTGTTACTTGACGATTTTCTTTGTTCTGCGCATAATTAGTATGTGTTCTGAGTAAATAATTGGCATTATTTAGCTCATACGTGTATCATTTTCAGATCGATTCGGATTCTATTGGTCACTATATTTTGGGGTATACAGTATCAAGTAAGCATTATTCCTAAAATGCTGTACCGCCTCATATTTCGTTAAAAGAAAGGAAAATACCGACACGGCCTAAACAAAACACCTACCACTACTAGTAGAAATAATGATCGTAACAGTAGTAGTTGTAGTAGTAGTAGTAGTAGTAGTAGTAAAGTAGTAGTAGTAGTAGTAGTAGTAGTAGTAGTAGTAGTAGTAATAGTAGTAGTAGCAGTAGCAGTAGCAGCAGTAGTAGTAGTAGTAGTAGTTGTTGTTGTTGTTGTTGTTGTAGTCGTCGTCGTCGTCGTCGTCGTAGTAGTAGTAGTAGTAGTTGTAGTAGTAGTAGTAGTATTAGTAGTAGTAGTAATAGTAGCAGTAGTAACTACAGCATAAATAAAGGTAAACGCGGCCAAGAGCGTTATCAGACCAGTTACCCTTATCTACGTTCACCAAATGTTTTGTTAAGTTAAATTTTCATCCATAAGCACTGACATGTTCACGTTAATGGCCTATAATCACGAGAGAGAGTGCATTAATGTGAGCAAATCGATGCGATGCTTATGGTAGAGATGAAAGTTTAAATTAACAAAACAGGGGAATTGGTGTGACAGCATCTTTGAACGCGCACGCCAAATGTGGTCTGATAATAACTAAAAAGAAATGTAATAAAAAATGATTTACTAACAACAACAGTAGCAGTAAAATTCATGATAATGATAATAAGCATCAAGATTATGATCATGAAGAACTTGATAGTGATTATTATATTATTATTACTATTATTCTACCATTACTACCAAGATATGAAATAATAATGATAATATGAAATAACACTGATACTACTAAGAATGATTATAGAGATAATAACAATGGTAAACATACAAGTATCATTGGCATTATTATCATCTTTGCTACAATGACCAGCATCATTATTATCATTATCATTGTTATCATAATTATTACCGCTGTTGTTGTTTTATCACCATCATCAACAATATCATCATCATTATTAACATTATAGTTGCTATTATCATAATCATTATCGCTGTTGTTTATTTTTTTAATCACCATCACCATCATTAACAATATCATCATCATTATTAACATTATAGTTGCAGTTAACGCCATATAAACAGCAGCCGGAACGCAAGCCTCATTTTGGCCAAATAACCGACGTGAATTCCACTCTACGCGCGACATCCGGCCAGCTCGCATAAACAGCAACGCCTTGTTTTTTACCCAGCTATCAGACATAAGTGACCAGATGTATAGTTACTCAAAATGATCACAGCATAATGAAATAAATGTCTTGTCAGTTCTTGTACCTTAGATTGATAACTGACATACTATAATGACAGTGAAATGACACAAAATAGTGGATTGAATCTAAGTTCAGAGCATAAACGATGGTTAAAAAATAGTTATTGATTAAGAAATCAAATATACATAAAAATGAATTGGTTCATGAGACAAAAAGTTTAATTTCATATCATTGCTACTCATTTGATATCCCTAATTAAATCGTAAATGTTTTATTAGTTATAATACCATATAAAGAAAAGAAAAGAAGACGATATGATATATATGCACACACACACACACACACACACACACACACACACACACACACACACACACACACACACACACACACACACACACACACACACACACACACACACACACACACACACACACACACACACATACCACACACACACACACACACACATACCACACACACACACGCACACACACACACACACACACACACACACACACACACACACACACACACACACACACACACACATACCACACACACACACATACCACACACACACACACACACACACACACACACACACACACACACACACACACACACACACACACACACACACACACACACACACACACACACACACACACACACACACACACACACACACACACACACACACACACACATACACATACCACACACACACACACACGTCATCATCTTCATAAGGAATTTGTGGTTCACATAATCATTATTACCAGATGAATAAATGCAAAAGTCATTATTATCATCAAATATAGGAAAATAATGTTCAGTTCTTTCCCCTTTATTGTAGAATAGTAAAAAATTAATTAATTTATTTTAAAAAAATAAAGGAAACTGTCACAGGGAATGCCAAGTAGAGTATCAAACGACCCCAATGAAGTTTCCTGCCTTGTCACTCGTAAACGATATATATAAATCAATAAAAAAAGTATACACTTTTTTCCCATTTTATTTTATTCTATTGTTTTGTCTGGCTATAAACTGTTCAAGCACAAACACATTCCCGAAATGACAAATCCTGAAATTCAATGGTCAAATGGCTTTTTTGGTCAAATGTTTTTTTTTATGCAGCATATATCTTAACTAACATATGATTTTTTTATCTGTACTCCTATTTTTTGTTTTCATTTTCATTATTGCTCAATCTAATGTAGATTGATATATATATATATATATATATATATATATATATATATATATATATATATATACACACACACACACACACACACACACATATATATATATATATATATATATATATATATATATATATATATATGTATATATATATATATATATATATATATATATATATATATATATATATATATATATATGCGTGTGTGTGTGTGTGTGTGTGTGTGTGTGTGTGTGTGTGTGTGTGTGTGTGTGTGTGTGTGTGTGTGTGTGTAGAGAGAGAGAAAGCAGAACCGGATTAAGATTTTGCAGGATCTTAGGTTGCAAGTACTATGATCATGTAACGTCCTTATCACTGGTCTACTTACGGGTAAAAAGAAGAAAGAAATTATCCAAGCTTCACAGACAAAACAAATTTTCACTTTGTCTGTGGCTGCACTTCCTAAGGAACTTGTCTTTGCAGATGTTTTATATATATATATATATATATATATATATATATATATATATATATATATATATATATATATATATATATATTTAAAATCATACATATTACATGTGTGTGACTACAGTGATGGTCCGACCCTCGTGGTGCCGAGTTCAATTCCCCGTCGCGGCGGTCGTAAAAAACGCCTGCGCTCTGCTGGCTCGAGCCTAATCTCAAGTCGACATATCCCCTTGAGAAGTCAAACGCAGGCGTCGTAGGGGAAGTCATCGCCAAGGCACAAGTGTTAGCGCGACGAACCGCGCTTTATTAGGAAGGGCATCTATGTATATATATATGTATATATATAGTATATAAGATACATACATATACACTTAGTTGTGTGTGTGTGTGTTTGTGTGTACACTATATCCAAGACCTAATGGAACGCTTCACATCTCTGCCCCCAGCAGCTGTCTTCCCGTCGTAAGTTCCACCTCGAGCGGGCATAAGTGTCCGAACCGCTTTCACTTCTGATACTTTAAGGCATAAACAAACACCTGCCTTCGAAGGGAACCGCCGCTTAAAAGGACAGGGAGGAGAGATAGAGAGAGACGATAGACAGACCAAGACACGGGCGAGCACTCCATCACCACGTCCCATTTACTTGCAATAAGACCAGTCTCTCACGTTGACATACATACATACATACATACTTACATACATACATACATACGTACG